TTTTATTTCCTTCATACACGGCAGGCAATTCTATTTCGTTTTTGTATTTCATCGCGTGTGTAATGTTTATCGCGGGTCGTGTATACAATTGTATTTTGTTCAAATATTACGTTTGTTCAAAACGAGTAGGTTAGATACCTCTACCTGCAGTGTGCGCAATATATAGACGGGGAGAAATTGCGTGACTACCATATAGAAAAAAGAATAAAAAATATTAAAAAACGCCCGACGACGAATATTCCGTTGCTTTATAATAAAACATATTATACTAAATAAGAAAAAATATTATATTAAATGAGATAAAATAAATCATATTACACTCTGGGTACTCTGGGTACACAATAATAATATATTGCAATACGACGCTGACCTCGTGAAGTTTACCGACAAACACCGTAAACCAGTTCAAGTGTTACGAATACGCAAACGTTTTATCATTCGTATACCTATAATATTATAATATGCTTACGCATAGACGGAACAAATTGTGCACAGAAAAATGGATTGTTTTTATTTTTTTTTTACTCTTTATACACGCAGACACACGCAGGGTTTCAAAAAAAAAAAACTGAAAACAGTTCGATAAAAATAGCAATAGGAATAATTGTTCATTTTTATTTGTATTTTAAGGACGAATGGGAACTTTATAAATATCCTCGCTTTTCAGACCGGTAATCGGTAAAAGAGACTAAGGTATAAACGGCCAGAATTGAAAAACGAACAAACATTTAAAATCTTCGTTTGTGTACATGACGTATCGTTTAGATAAGTCGCATCAGAGTGCGTTGCTAAACCGACATCATCACCACACAGCATTTTGAAAATAATCCATGTCCGTGTTTACATCAGTAGGCGAAAAAAATAAAACGTAACGAGTTTAATATTTTCAACAGCATTCACCAAAAGTTTCGTTATTCCTGTAGAAATTGTATAAGTCCCGAATTAAATTTCCCGACGTGTGGACCGCGTTAGTCGATAAAAACAACGGTCAATAATATTTTTATATTACGATCTCCTAAAACATTTTTAATCGCCGTAGAATCGCGGACCTTGTAAACTCCAATTAATTTTAGATTATGAGCGAAACGATGAATCTATTGGTGTACAAAAACGCTTATTTTTATTTTTTTTCTGCGAACAATTTTTCTACCAGAAATTTCGTTTCGATTTTCAAGTGTAGCACCTTTTCCGAGAGGAAATTTTCTCTCGGCGTGTCCCTTTAAACAGGTCGTTTGTTGATTTTCTCGTGGGTTTTCATGATAAATGGGAATAACCGCAGGGAAAACGGGAAAACGTACGGAATGTAATAGTTTCAAATCGTAAATATCACGGTCTTTCGAAACGTGTACAACCGAAATCATCTCAGAATCGTTTTTCGTTGGCAATGGTGCGTACGTTACATTTCTCCTCCGCCTTCTTAACTTCTCACCTACAACGGTGACCCGCCCCGTCGTGTTATTTTTACACCGGAGAACCGGCAGTTGTTTGTATTTCAATATTTAACGCGTGTAAAACCATAACGCTATACTGCAGTCGTACGGGACTCGTTTCGCAACCCTTCGGAGTCACACCACGCGAGTCTTAAACAATACATACACACGGTACTACTATGTATTATATTGTATCACGGCAACAATGATTTTATCGTGTTTTTTTTTTTTTTTGTTTTTTTTTCGGACAGAGACGACGGCGACGGCGGGGCGCGTACCGCGAAAAATTCGGTTACCTGCGCGCCGCCGACGACGGCCGTTTAACGAGAAAATATCTAAAACGTCGGCGTCTACACTACTATTCCGTGAACATACGTGCGCTGCACAAACTGCAATATATTACCGCGCGTCCTGTATATTATTATTATTGTTATTATTATATTATTATTATTATTATTATAAGGAACCCACCCGCCGGGTCGAGAGTGTTTTTTTTTTTTTTTTTTTTTTTCTTTTTTTCTTACCGCGTGCGATACCGCCCTCCCTCGCGCGACGGGCACCGTGGTGCGGGGGGCAGGGACCGGGATCGCCGGCGTCCGCGACGACGCCGGCCGGCCGGAGATGCGTACGGCAGACCGACCGAACAAACGCCGCCGCCGGACGTCGTACCCGTCGGGGAAGACGTTCCTTTGTGCGTTCCGCGCGTCGCCTGATATAATTACGTACGGTGCACACGGAGTGCGGACGGGTAGCGCGATTCGATAAAGGCCGGCCTCCACTTACGCGACGGTCGTGCTGCGGGCCGTATCGTTTTTGCGCGCGCGCGGGCGATACTGTTCAATGTCACGGTTTTGTCGGTTTTCCCGTTCGGCGGTGACCCGCGCGAATCGACAGTGATTTTACAATGTAATTAAAATTACCCGCTTTTCCCATTTTTTTTTTCTTTTAAGAAAAATCGAAATGTGACCTTCCGGCGCACAGAAATCGCTAAAAGAAAGTCCCTGTATAAGGTTTTTGGTTTCAGCAAGATTTCTGATTGAAAAGTTTTAAGAGAATAAAATATTAAGTGATAAAAAACGACGACACTTCACGGTAAAAGCAGTCGATTCTCTCAGAATCTAAAACCAAACAGACTTATAAATGCACAGCCCAGACCGATGGTTTTAAAAACCGGGCATATTGTATACAGCGGTTCCTTATGCATCGTAAAGGCAACTAAGCTAAGAAAGGATTTTTCAAAAAACATCAGCCAAAGGGTGGTAGACGCAGGGTTTTCGGGATTTTCGGAACGAAAAGTGAACGTTTTTTTTGTTTTTTGTTGGTTTATAAACTACATTGGCGATACGGACGATGAAAAAAACGGCGATTATTAATTAATCTGGTTGTCACGGGCGAGGAAATTTCTTTGAAAAAAAAAATTAATTAACGAGCAATAATGGTTAATTAACCACGCGATAGGGACAGTGGTGAAAACGGGAGTCACGAGAAAACACGATTTTTAAATTTTTTCATTATTAACACGGATAAATTCGTGATGGCTAATAAATCATTAATAATACTTGGATTTTCGACGAAAATAAAAATAATGTGTATTTGTTTTAGAGTACTCGAATATTATAACAAAAAAGCTATTAGTTTAACAAAAAATGACTTATTTCCCCCCCCCTCCCCCCGGAAATCACTTTTTCGGCTAGTAGAAATGTTCGGATATTTTTTACGTCGTACGTCTAAAGACGCGGTATTCTTTGGTCCGCCATATACAATTATTAAATGAAACATTTATCGATTTAACATTTTAACGTTCGAACCGTACACTCCGTATAAGTCAATTTTTCTGTGGTTTTTTTTTTGTTGATTTCCGGGTTACGACTCTCAAAACTCTACTGCGTTCAGAATCGGTTTCAGCGATTTATCGTCGCGTACAGTTATTGTTAATTAATAATTACCCTATATGCTCTACACCTTCCCGACTGTGCATCAGCAACTGCTGCAGCGGCCCACGAATGACGGTACCTCGAAGTCTGCGCGGTTTTTTTTCCTTTGTAACGAAATCAATTCGGGATAACGTTTTTGAATATTGTGTAATATATTACGAGTACGTTTCAAGATGATTTTAAACAATTTCCGAACCTCGGCGACGGCGATGGAATATTGATACCTATACACACGTGCTTTAATTTATTTCAACAAACTACGCTGTAAATATTTGAATAATAATAATCGTACATTTATTTTTGTCACCATATTATTATGGTATACCGATAACTGTTATGGGTGTCGTACCGGTTGCAGGGTATCGCTGCAGTGTATTAAATTTAAAATTCAAATATTAAAATATTAAATAGTGTTATCTACATGCGAAGGTTGTTGAACTCGGAAGATAATTAATAAAACAATAATATACTGAATACATTTATTATAGATCCGTTTACAAATAGACAATAATTTTCGGTTTTGTTATTCAGCCATAGTATAATTTTATATTATAGTCGTCGTCATGTGTGCCATTTAAATTTATTTTTTTTTTCCTACGAGGAAATGAACGAGGAAACGAAATATAATGTGCATTACGCGTGTTCGGGATTGTTCAATGAGATGGCGGCTGAACGTTATAGTAAACGGTAATCATATGCGTCTTAATGCAAGCCAAATCCAATCCGTTTGTATCATTTGATTGTACAATATTATGTTTAGATTCCGAGTAGGTATAACGTGATTTTTTACACATCACATAATATGTGTTCTTTTCCCTCGGAAAACACTTTTACGGTTTGTATAAACGCTCAGATTTTTTCACGCCACTCCTTAAATGATGCGGAATTTTCGTCAGATAGTACAGTGTTAAAAATAATTTTTCGGAATTCTCATTACTCATTACAAAAAAGTTGTTTTTTTTTAGTTTAAGCAAATTTGTATGATTAGGCAAATGCTTTAAACGTTTTTTAATAAATTCTATATTTCAACACAAACGGGAAGTTGTAGTCCTTTTACCGTCCTCCCCCCACATAAGTAAGAGCAGTATTGAACCCAGACGATTTTTTGGGGAAGCGGGACACTAACAATAATAGTAATGACCTTTTTTTTTTTTTGGTCATCTTCCTTCTTAATCAAATTAATTTTTTAACTAATTTATCCACATTTAACAGGAGGTAAACGAAATTTCAAGAGGGGAAGCTTCGCCCCTCCCCCTGTCATATACCTGTATTTAACACTGTGTAAGAGAGAAAGAGAAAAATCGAAAAAAAAGCTGTTGGGTGCGATTGAGAATGATGTGAGGACACTCGAGGACAGACGGCGTATGAGAGGTGATGGGAGATCGGGTCAAGTGGAAGTTTAGGACGAGGGCGACCGATATCTCTAATAGCTAGAATGAGAAGAAGAAAAAGAAGAAGAATCTATACGCGATCAACCGTCCAATATATATGTATATAAACTTTTTTTTAAAACTATTTTTTTCACGCCGATAGGTACGGCGGATCTCTTTCGCGATCCTACACTCATTGCTGCTTTCGTCGTTTATTTCCTCTTCGCGGGACATAATGAATTAATATTAAATAAAATAGTACAATTTTAGAGAGAACCTAAGAATGTCTTTGCCTCGATGTACTTGGGCCCCGGTACTCCCCGTCCCGGCCGCGCTCGCCGATTTGGTTGCCCGACGTCGGGTCTGACGTCACGAATTATCTCCGAACCTTTACCACGTTTGTTCATCTGGTGCGAACAACGCACCCGTTTGCACCATTCGGAGTGTCCTTGTGTAGCCGGACACGCGTCTTGGAGATTCGGGACAGGCCTGTAGCTAGACCAAATCATTAAGTGATGAGGTAAACCAAATTTTAGGGGTAAAATTAGAAAAAAAAAAACAATATTAATTACATATATCCACATTTAATACTTGTTGGAGAGACAGAGATTTGGTCCAAAGAGGGTAGTGCCTCCCTCCAGGGCCTGGTCCGGGCATTTAGCCGATGAGTAACCGCGGACGCGATCGCTTCCGGGGGACCGGGACAGTCGGCCGCCCGCCAACCCGAATCTGGCGACCAGAGGTCGTCTACAACATAACAGTAACCGTGGTCATGGCCGTCGCGGAACCTATAGAAAATGATATAATATTAAAAAAAAAAAAGTCCTAGGATAATGGGGACTGGTGAAGCTACTGGTATAGATAATTTAATGTATACCTGTAAGCAACGATAAACCATTATTAACGAAAAATCGATTCTGAACGGAGTTCAGTTGATAGTGATGCTTTGTCAACATTATATATGTCATATTATGGTGAAGGTTAATTAAATAGGCATCATATACATTGTCTTTAATAATATTTGTTAAATGTATCGATTTTTCCGGGTTTCCCATGTTTTTTCCCGGTTTTTCACATTTTTTGGGAAAATCAAAAAAATGAGTACCATCCCGGTGCTCCCGGTACAGCCCGGTAGAAAAAAACGCTATTATTGTAAATCGGAGCAAAATTGCCGGTAGAAAAGTTCTCCGCGGAAAAAAAAAATAAACATCTTTGTAAAATCATTAAGCTCCTTCGCGCTCCACTCAGAATCTAAGAATAATAATTATAAAAAAAAAAAATAATAACGGCGTGCCCGGTGCCCTATAAATCGCGGACGATAACGAGTCTCGCGTAATACTTTTGCGGGCGACGACGACCGGCTCGAATGTTAAAACAGACGAACGGCCGGCCGCCGGTGCACGTGTCTTCGGGGTCTCGCGGACGTGTCGGTTTCACTCGTCCGCTAGTCTAAAAAAATTAAAAAATAAAAACATTTAAATAATACGGTTGGAGCCAATTCGATAATAATAAACCGGGCGGCCCGTGTGCAACGCAACAGCATAACGGGCGCTCGATTTTCGTAAGTGTACGCGGCGGACGACGGGCCGACTAATGACGTTCCGCGTTTCGTATACACACTACGTTTTTAACATATTATTATAATATTTTTTTACGATTTCTTACTCGGTTTATTTTTCTCCGCTGTTCCGGACATAATAGGATTTTCGGTTTTTCGTTTGTTTTTTTATCGTTTTTTTTTTTTTTTTTGTTTTTTCTTTTAATGTCTGTTATAAGACTATACTGCCAACGATATACATGGTAGTTTATCGTTTTCGCGTCTGTGCAATATACAATATATATATATTATAGTCATCGCGCGTAACACGAACGATACTATAATATATTAATATTTTATAATATCTTCCGCTCGTGTTCTTCTTTCGTTACGAGTACCTGTAATTCGGTTTACAGTAGTTAATAGTATAATATGTATAATGTAATACAATAGTATATTTAGCATACCAGTATATTGTTAGTGTGTGTGTGTGTGTGTGTGTGTGTGTACAGTTAATAGAGTTTGAGTAAATCGACGTGCTATGATGTGACGTTGTACGCGGCCACTGTTATTTACTACGGGGTTTTATTTTAGGTTTCGGTTCTTGTACGGCTGTACGCACATTTTTATTTAAAGCGGCGTATATTTGCGCCTCCAGGGTAGAGTTTTGATTTGAATAGTATTTGATTAATGTGTAGTGTGTCGTTTCACCTTTATAATTGATGCGATTACCAATTTCAACGTTCCAATCATTATTTCCAGTAATTGTCGTGCCTATAGAATTTTCTCCGTAAATCGTAGAAACGGTTATTTTCGACCATCATCTGCAAAATTCCTCGAGGTTGCCCCTTCCAGGCCCGTATTACAAGGAGGGGGGGCAGAGACTATCCACGAGAAATACGACCCACAAAGACCGTATTACGATTTGAAACGAATATTTGACATTTTTTTCACCTTATTTGTTCCGTTTAAATAGAATAAGTCAACTTCATCTCAGAAGTCAACTACCTCATATGGGCCCCCGGACACCCGCAATCCCACCCCCTCTTAATTCGCGCTTGCTTTCCTCCAAGCCCGACCCCACCCATCGGCTACTGTACTAAATCGCGCCGTTCGAGAGGTTCGCACGTTATCCGCGGTAATATAGCTATTATAATATTATACGAGAATATAAAAATGTAAAAAGTTTACGGAACACGGGAATTTACACTGTCGGAAGAGAGAGAGAGAGAGAGAGAGAGAGAGAGAGAAAACCACCGGTCTTTTGTTGTTGTTATTATTATTATAAGTATCGGTCGGGTTTTAAACGGCCATTGTGCCTTTGTACGAATAATAACGACGCGACTCGGCGGCGGCGATATTGTAAATAATCGGCGAGCGCACGAGTATCGCCGACCCCCCTCCCCCCCCGCCGCCTTCCCCCCGAGTACTGCACGCCGGCAACAATAATAATGTACGCGCGTACCCACCCGGGTCGGGCGCAGGCGCTCGGGTACGCGCGACGGCGACGACACAACGGTCGTGCGTAATTATTTCGTTTGCTCGGACGCGAACCGCGGCGGTCGTGACGTGGCGATTCGGCGGCCGCGGCCCGCGTTTCGCGTGTACAACATAAACGTATGCGCGCCGCGCGGCGGTACGGTGGGAAACGTTCGGCGTTACGGGCGGGGCGGGAAACGGCGACACGAATCGGCGAAAAAAAAAAAAAAAATTATCGTTTACATTAATGTAACATAATAATAAAGAGGTAAAAAGAAAACGAAACGAACCCGGTGGGGAGAAAGAGTGCGACGAAAAGCCGAGCTTGTCGGGATGGGGGTGGGGGGTGGGGTAGGAAAGCCGTCGGAGGCCCGGCTATCATAATATTATCGTTATTATTATCGTCGTCGTGACCTCGTTATCTCCGCCGATCGCTATCGCGCGATCGCGTCGCCGGATCTCATCTACATTTTTATTGTATTATTCTTAACATTATCGGATTCGTATTATTGTATTTAATTTTGCTCGTTCGCTCGCTCGCCGGAGATGCCTTATACCGCAACAATATTATACGCAGGTTATCGTACGTATACACTTACTTACTTACGTGCCTCCTCCACCTCCCCCCCCCCTCCGCTCCGGTATTCTTCCGTCCGACGCGACGCCGCGGTCGTGGCCGTCGTTGTAGAGGAGAAAAAAAAAAAAAGATTAAAAAAAATCGCTCGTTTCGCGGTCTCCCGCGCGGCGTCCGCGTTTCAGATCTTCTTCGCTTATTATTATCGACGTCGCCGTCGTGTATAGCTCGTAAAAACGTCGGTTTTCTCCGTAATGTACGCGTCTGCACTGCACACGGGCGTCTCGCGAGTGAATACGATTCTTTTACTGGATTCTGAGCGGACCCCCGGATTAAGTGCCCGGCGCGAACAAATAAGTCGAAAAAACGACATCGGTTAATTTGCATACTATACTCTATACTCTTCGATTCTCGAATATTTCGGTAAACGCATTATATAGTTTTTGTGGGCCCCGGGGGCCGTGGTCTCCCTCCCGAATCCCGTCTTGGTTCTTGGAGTACGCGAGTTCTATAGATTATGCGGTTCGGTGTGTCACATTGTTTTTTTTTTTTTTCGAAAACGACTTTTCACACAGAACTCGCGATCTAATCAAAGACTTTACGGGAACTATTTTGTAGCGGTTTTGATGAACTGGCCGGCGCGTTTGAGGACATCGTTTTTCGATTTTTCTCGTCTGACAAACGATAGGTACTATGCAAATAAAATACTCGGCTCAAAATCGTTTTTCGTTAGCAATGGTCTATCGTCTATGGCCTACAGATACAACCTACTTTGAAAAGCCGTATTTAAGCGGGGTCTTAGGGACTCGATTCGTCCCTCGGACATTTTTTCAAAAGTATCGTTTGCTATGTTTAAGCCATCTGTAATAGTATTATAATCAAGGGCGTCTATTAGGGGGTACAAGAGATTACATGTCACCCCCTAGAAAAATGATAGTGTCATTTTTTTTTAGTTATAACTAATTCATTTTTCTAATGATAATGACAAGAAGTTCTATGGGAAAATATACCTAAATTAGATGGACTGTGTATGCTCGGTGTTCATATTAGACAAAAAGTTCATCACGACCACAATTTTGTTGAAAAAGTAGTGGAAAATTTAGTTTACAAAAACGCAGTTTTTGTTTTAAAATATTGTTTCGCATATAAATTATATGTTTGTTTCGTTATTTAGTAATTATTTATACAATTTTGTTGATTGTTAGTTTTTAAGTTTTTTATTTTATGATTGTCACACCTTTAAGTTTTGATTGATGGGCGCCCTTGACAATAATAATCGATAACATTTAAAACCCCTTCTGAACATCTTGTCCAGCCATGGTCTTGTTCTGTTTCAACTTTCCTCCTAATTTTTTACACGTTATCCAAATAATTACAGGCGGTTAAAATGTTTACTCTTATTCCGTATATCATAATATTATTCACGTGTGTATCGTAATATGCGTATTAATAATCACGGATTTTCGTTTTACATTTCGAGTAAAATTAAAAAGCTATTTTTTTTTCGCAGATGATTTCTAACCCCTCGGAAAACAGTTTTAATAATTGATAAATAGACGGATTTTTTTTTCACGTGTAATTTACGTTAAAGTTTTGCGAATTTTTCGATCGGTCATACTTTTATTTGAAACATTATTACCTATCAAAATGTTACGCAGTTCACCTCTTAGGTTCTTTGTTTTGTTTGTCGATTTCCGGGTTACTTTATTGCCGTTGATTACTAGCGAAAAAGATACGACTTATCCTACTCCGCTCGGAATTGTTTCTTGACTTTTCGTTTTTTCGTCCGACCTTCCTGCCGACCGATCACCCACAACAGTAGCCTATATAATACCCGCGAGCGGTATGGACTTTTTCAATTTGCATTTTTTCTATTCACGAACGAACCCACGTTCGAAAAGACAATATTATTATCTCGAAATCTTCGTGTAATAATCGTTGATTCGTGACGGTAAAAAAAAAAAAAATAATAACAATAATCACTCCGTGTTCTACAACAACTGTCGCAGTTTTAGGGAAAATACTCAAGTTCCCTTCGTATATAACGTACAATACGGATACTAGTAATAATAAATCGTTACCTACGTTAATAATATCATTATACGAACGTCCGAAGCGTGTTGCGCGGACAATAAAGAATTATATTATTATTATTATTTTGACCGAGACTGTATAATAATATTATACATTTGCGCACAACGACTGCAATAACTTTATATATTATACTATGTTATTATATACGTATATTATACACGATAATATACGATTTTTACGATTTAAATGCACGTGCGGCCGAGAGCGTAACAAATCTCTCGATAACATAACGATATTGTTATTATTATGTTATTGTCGCGAGTTTTTCGACATAAAAAAAAAAAAGGGTATGTATATATATATATATATATATAAATGTACGCGCAATAATGTATACGGACGCGAGCCATAAACTCGGATATTGCACCGTATTCGTACATTATATATATATGTATACCATATGTAATAATACGTTGTTTTACCGGGGAGTTTTTTTTGTTTCGAGGAGGTCCGAACGGACACCCCATGGGCTGAGTAAAAGGCTTCCCCGCTCGCCGCGTTTTGTACAGAAAATAAACGGCGAACGGTCGAACTTTTAGCGAAAATTTTCTGTTTTACATAATGCAACCGGTATCCGGCAACAGCCGCGGGAAAAGTTCCGGTACCCCGACACACGGAAATTCTACAAAGTGTTTATGAGTAATTTTTACGCGGATATCCAGAATATGACAATCTACAATCGAACTGTCTATAAAACCATACTCGCGATATAATTGCCAGTTGAGAGTTAGTATACGATATTATAATCATTGCAGTGTCGTCAGTACTCTACGTCAGTTCGTTATTTAATCATATCAAATTTTAAACGTCTTTTTTTAAACTTATGATAAATTACAATTTTTTAAATTTGTAATAAACACGAGGTTTGTTATTATGCAATAGGGTTTCCCATTAAATCGCCCGGTTATTTTTTACAGAACTTTAAAAGGACGTCACACCGACATCTACAGTCTTCGTCTCACAAACGCGTGACATAGCAAGTTATCATTCATTAGGACAAACTTTGTGCCGTTAGTTAAAGTGAGTTTACCTATCACCAAACTAAAAGTCAGACGATTATCTTTGACCAATAGCGTTGGTGTTTAGTAGATATTTTAATTTCTAGCGAGATATAATAATTTTGATACTGTGATACTAAACATACTCATATCTCGCTTGAAAATTAAAAATTTGCACTATTGAGTGACAAATTTGATATCATACGTTTGCAAGACGGAGATAACAAATACGAGTGTGGCGTCTTCTTACGGTACGGAATTGCCGCCGAGGGAAAAAATATATACGGTGGAAAATACGACCTATTCGAGTGTACAGCGTCCCACGAAGATATAGCAATTGTAAAATCTCCTGAGATAATAGAGATAACCAAATTTTTTTTCTTTTATACTACTCGCAGGGATAAAAAATAACTTTATTCATTATTTTATCATTTTAGAATAATGTGAAGATAGCATTTTTATAGAGTTTTTTCTTTTGAAAATGTTGACGTATCAACTCTTTACTTTCATTAAAAATATTTAGGTATAGTTGTGACACGAATCATGAACCAATGTCCAATGAGACGGGGGGGATTTATTTTTTAGTCTATCCACCGTTGTTTTTTTAT